TAGTCGTGAAACTTTGAACCTACCTTAGTGTATATCCATCAGATTTACTGGACAATCGGTAGCACTTTGCTTTGAACTGTCAGCCATAGTGTAAACCTAGACAATGAATAACACAAAGAGCCCCAGGTGCATCTTTGGTTCTCACGTTTGTGTTCATTTCGGCCTTGAACACCTCCTGGTTCAACTAGTGTTTTCGAGAATTTATCGTGCACCGGAGAATTTATCTCGTGCCATAAACTATCATAGAAGCAGCCTTCTTCCACCAGCATAGGTGATCTCTATGGAAGGTATCATGCCATACCTTACTTGAACATATCAAGATATAGAGATCATTAAAAGCGTAACTTACCCTAAATGCTCATGGCATGAGTGTACTATATCTTGGCTAGTACCGCCCGAGCCAGTCCACAGTTGTGTTTTCCCTTTGAACCTAATTATGAGGCACTGTCAATAATAGGTAGGGTTTCCCCATGGACTTTTATTGGATCATTGGCCATAGGTCCATTGCTCTCCTTGACGTCTCGACCAACTCTATCGAAAGAGGTTTGGTTAGCGGATCCGCAATATTTTCTTTCGACTTAACATAGTCAAGAGATATGATCCCATTGTTAATTAGTTTTCTAACGATATTATGTCTACGAAAAATGTGTCTAGACTTACCGTTTTGCATTCCTTGCCCTCCAATAGCTGCTTGACTATCACAATGAATGGATATTGGAGGAACATGCTTTTCTCAACAAGGAAGATCTTCCAAAACCCCTCAACCATTCAACTTCTTCTCCAGCCTTATTTAAGGCAATGAATTCAGCTTCCATGGTATTCAGCTGTGTTTGGAATATTTCCATGACACAGCACCACTTCCAAGGGTAAACACATATCTACTCGTTGATTTTGTGTCCTTGGAATCGGATATCCAATTTGCATCGGTATATCCCTCTAGCACAGCTGGAAATTTTTTAAAATGTAAACCATAGTCTTTGGTGTACATCAAATACCCAAGCAGCCTTATAAGCACTTTCCAGTGTTCTCTACCAGGATTTATTGAAAACCGTCTTAGTTTATTCACAATTTGAACTATATCGGATCGTGTTCCATTCATGACATATGTTAAACATCCTACGACCCGAGGATAGTCATCTGGTGAAACACTTTCTCCTCTGTTTTTTACTGAGGTGAACACTGGAATCAAAAGGAGTTCTCATGGGTTTGATATTATACTTCTGGAATCTCTCAAGTATTTTCTCAATGTAGTGTGATTGAGACAATATGAACCCTTCAGGTGTTATAGTGATTTTAATTCTAGAATTACATCCGCAACACCGAGATCCTTCATTTCAAATTTTCTGGCCAACATACTTTTGGTAGCCTTTATCAAATTATTGTTACTGCCAAAAATTAGCATATCATCTACGCATAGACAAACTATGACGTAGTCATTTTGATTGCCTTTCACATACACGCATTTGTCGACCTCGTTGATTTTAAATCCATTTGATAGCATTACACTATTAAATTTATCATGCCATTGTTTAAGAGCTTGCTTTAACCCATACAGAGATTTTACAAGGCGACAAACCTTTCTTTCTTGTCCAGGGACAATGAAACCTTCAGGTTGTTGCATGTAAATCTCTTCCTCTAAATCACCGTTCAGGAATGCAGTTTTTACATCCATTTAATAGATTTCTAAATTCTTCAATGTAGATATTGCTAATAGCATTCAAATTGAAGTTATTCTAGTAACCGGTAAATAAACATCGAAGTAGTCAAACTCTCTCTTTTGGTTGTGTCCTTTGGCAACCAATCGAGCTTTGTACTTCTCAATTGTTCCATCAGTTCTTTTTTTCTTTTTGAAGATCAATTTGCATCCTAGAGGTTTAGATCAAAGAGGCACACATGATTGAGTCAATCTCACTCTTGATGCCCTCTTTCCATTGTGCAGCGTCTGGTGACAACATGGTTTCCATAAATGTTTGAGATTCATTTATACAATAGGTACACAATGAAATGTCATCTGAAATCCTTAGAGTTTCGTGCCCTTTTTCCTCGACCTATTTTAGTTTCTTAGTCCACTTCATCATTACCATTTATAGATTCGAAAATCCTCTTATTGGAGCTTGATTCATACATAGGGGTGGATTAAATATATCCATGTCATATGAAACAATCTCACAATCTCCCTTTGAAAGGGAACACGCTCTCAAAGAATGTAGCAACTTTTGATTCTATAAAGATGTTGGCGTTCATGTCCACATTATGAGATTTATGGACAAGAAATCGATATGCACTACTATTTTGTGCACAAACGAAAAAGACACAATTAATAATCTTTGGTCCAAGATTTATTCTTTTAGGTTTGGGAATAGCTACTCTACCTAGACATTCCCATAGCCTCAAGAAATTAAAACTTGGTTTCTGTCCTTCCCATAACCTATATGGAATTTTAAGAAATTTCTTGTGGGACATTCTATTGAGAATATAATTTGCAACTAGGATAACATCCCCCCACAAGTCGTTCGGTGCACAAGAACTTACTAGCATGGCATTAACTAGGTCCTTTACAATCCTATTCTTCCTTTCGACTACACCATTTGATTGAGGCGTATAAGGAGCGATTACTTGATAAGTAATACCACTTTCCAAACCAATTGATTAAAAAAGGTTATGCATACTCACTACCTCTATGACTCCTTAGTGCCTTAATCTTCTAACTAAGTTGATTTTCAACTTCGGCTTTGTAACGCTTAAAAGCATTAATTGCTTCATCTTTGCTTCTTAGCAAATACAAATAGCAATATCTAGTGTTACAATCGATGAAGGTAATAAAATACCTTTTCCAACCTCTAGTTTCTTCATACTTAAGATCACAAAGATCTGTGTGTATGATATCTAGCGGTTCAGTATCCCTTGTGATAGTTTGAAAAATCTTTTCTAGCCATTTTGGCTTTCACACAAACTTCACACTTGTGATTAGGATCAATAGCACACTTACGCAACAAATCTAAATGCATAAGTTCATACAAAGTATCATAATTGACGTGTCCTAATTTAGCATATATGTCAAATTGGAGATGACCCAAATCAAATTAGAAGCAACTTTATATACAACATTGTTTGGTATAACTAACAATGAGGGCATTCATTTTGAAGACTACATCACTAAGATAGCCATTTCCAACAAATACATCAAGTTTTAGTCAACCCAATTTTATTAGATACAAAGACTAGCTTAAAATCATCCTTAATTAAAAAGAAGCCTTTTTATAATTCTTTCTTATGGTCTTCCGATCAATTTCTCGGACTTCAATTATCCTCTTCTAATTGTCAAGCGGACAAAGAGCCCCTCTAGGGGCATTTCCTAATTCTTAAAATCTTTCCTGTTGGGAGGTAAATTGTTTTTTTTTTCCATTACCACCGCCACTTGGAAGGACTCCCTTAAGAGACATACCCTCAACGTGAATTTCATGAAGAAATAGTTGGAATTCTTCGACTTGAGAAACAACCGATTTCTGATCAACCATTTTAAAGTCGAAGAAATGCCCGACAATATATTTCTTTTTGCCAGCATCCTCGGTCTTGAATTTTTTCTCAAGTGATTCCCACAATTCTTTTGCCTTCTTTATATCAGCACACCCAGAGTATAAGGAGTCACTGAGTCTATTTAAGAGATAATTTCTACACAAGAAATCTGAATACTTCCACGCATCCACCGCAGCTACTTTCTCCTCATTAGTCTCGTCTTCCTCTAAAATAGGTTGGCTTTCGGAGAGATACTTAGCCAAATTCAACGTTGTTAAATACTCCGTAAAAAATAACATTTTCTACGGTTCCGAAATTTAGTACTTCGTATTTGTTTTCGGAAAAATAACATTTTCGGAAAACTAGTATTTGTTTCGTTCCACCATTCTATTTACATAAAATAGACGGTTCCGAAATTTAAAGTAATTTTAGAGATCAAATATATACACATACACAGAGGAAGCGGTCCAGTCTAGCTGGTCGCTGACTCACTCTCCCTTACGGGAGGTCCCGAGTTCAATTCTCAATGGAGTGAGATTGAGCCCAGTTTACCCCAGACCCCCTAAACCCCCCCTCCCCCTGACGCCCCCTGGGGTAAAAAAAATACACATACATAAAATATACTCGTATATAATACGAAAGTACGTCAAAGATGTACAAGTAATATTAAAGTATCTGGGTACCATACAGGCATACACCGTATATGTATGTGTATAACTTTTACCCAAACTTTTACTAGAATAAGGAAAATCTGTTGAGATGCATATAATTAAAAAGGAACATGTACACCGTATATGTATGAGTATAACTTTTACCCAAACTTTTACTAGAATAAGGAAAATCATATCTATTGAGATGCATATAATTAAAAGAACATGTAGTGGAAAAGATAAGACAAACTTAATTTGGATGATTCGAAATGTGTAAATCATAAATCATGTGAAGACCACTAACATCAATCCTGTGAATCCACTAAAACGATCCTCAACAAATGCAAATGGTAATTGCGTATATTATAAACGGGCACAACCAGAATTAGGTTCTGTTTGCAATCACTTAAAATAAGTGATTGTGGCTTTTTTCTAAGAAAAAAGCACTTATTTTTCCAAACATTACCAACTTTTACTTTCTCGGTTTTCGTATAGAATCTACTTTTTACTTTTTCTATTACACAAAAAGCACTTATATTACCAAACACTACCAACTTTTACTACTAATCACTTTTTCCCAAAAAGTGCTTTTATTTAAGCACAAACATTTGCAAACAAACCCTTAAACGGTTAAACCAAATTAGACAACCGTTGGCATATAAAATAAAATAAAACGTTAGAAAATACATGCAGCAAAATTATGAACGAATCATGCGATCAACAAGCAATCAAACATACTAATAATGTATATACTATGTATCAATTTAGTACAGCCATACACAACCATAAATCAAAGAAGTAAAAAATCGCACAAATGGGATGTCTAATTAACAGCGAAAAGATAGCAACACGTGCATAGATTAAAAAAAATACTACATGAAAGCGGGCAGTTCTCAGTGAGGAGTTGCTATAGAAGGTTGAAGGGGGAGGTGGGCAAACCATCCAGGGATGCTCTGGACGGCTATGTGGAATTTCAATATTCCACCTAAAATAAAAATTTTCTTTTGGCACGTTTGTAGCGGTTGTCTTCCTTCGCGGATTAATTTGCAGGTTCGAAGACTGCCGTGCTCGGGTCTATGCGGACTTTGTGGAGCGGAGCCTGAGACGCTAGAGCATTTGTTCAGGTTGTGTCCGGCTGCTGTTAACTTCTGGGCTGCGATGTGATGGCAATGGAGCTAGGCGGGGGACTTGACTTTTTTGGAGCAGCTCAACGAGGAGTTCAAGAGGAGGAAGATGATGGATCTGGAGCAATTGATCTGGGGTTGCTGGTCGTTATGGATAGAGAGGAACCAGAGGGTGGTAGGGGATGACTTCTTCGGCGGAGCAGGCTGTTCACCGCGGCCGGGCACAGGTCGAAGGCTGGCAGCAGGCTCAAAGGGGAAGGCGTCTGCAGGCCAGTTTGCAGGGGAGGGCTAATTGGAACAGACCAGAGCAGGGAAGATAGAAACTAAATGTGGACGCGGCGATGAGGTCGGACCGGTGCGGACTAGGATGGTGCTTGAGGAATTCGGAAGGTCAGTTCGTGGCAGGGGCTTCAAAACCTTGCCCAGGAGTGCTGACAGCTTTGGGTGCCGAGCTTGTGAGCATCCGGGAGGCGTTGAGCTGGTTGAAGGAATATGGAATCACCTCGCCAGAAATTGAATCTGATGCGGTTGGGGCAGTAACGGAGATCCAAGAAGTGTCAAGTTGTTCTTTGGTGGGACTTCTAAGAGACGACATTAGAGATTTAACGGATTCATTTTCGTTCATTTCATTTTGTCATGTGAGGAGATCAGCGAATAAGCCAGCTCATTTGTTAGCTAGGGAGGCTTGTTCTTTGTCTGATATGCAGTTGTGGGTTGATTTTCCTCCTGATTTCATTGTTTCGGCTTTCGCCAACGATTTGATTAATATTAATTAAAAAATTTTCTCTCAAAAAAAAAATACTACATAGAATGTAAAACACACGACCAAATATGGATATACATGGAGATCAAAAGTTAGAATAAAAGAAACAGAATTCGTCTTAAGATTGTTATCCAAAATTCATATATTTTCCATGCATTAATGAAATAAAAGTAAAGTAAATGAAAAATACTTGGATGAAACCGAGCCCAATTAATCATTGTCTCCTTAAGATGAATTTGCTCACAACGCAAGTAGCAATAATCGCCTCCCAGGATAGAACAGTTTCTACGTTCCCGCAGGACACCGGCGAACCAAATGATGCACTAAAGTGGTGGAATTTGGATGAGAAAGATTAATAAGAACTTTGAGTATTTTCGAACTTCTTCTCAAGTGAAAAAACGAAGGCCTCCTAATGGGATTTATAGTGCTCTAGCCAGGAGACACAATCCCAAAAGGTGCTTGTTAAGAAAAGTTAGCGACTCTTCTCTTAAAGTTGCTTTTATTTGAAATATTTGTACAAAAAATAATGTTTAAGTCTTAAAGCCACGTGGGTACCCACCTGTACCCGAAACCCGACCAAAACCGGCCGGACAGCGGCGGTGCGTGAAGTGCAATTTCACGCTCACCGTGTGCGGGGAACAATTTCTCATTCATTTCAAAATGGTTTTCTACAAATAATATATTGAAATATTAACTTGTAAACCATTTTTCCAACATTTATGTCAAACTTATAATGGACTATAAAATACTTTTAATAAAGAACATTTTCATATGACTTTCATATTTTACATAATTTCACAATAAAATATCATTTTTCTAACTTGACCATTGTTGATAAAAAAAAGTCAATACTACAAATTTCGGTGGAAGTAAAAGTTAAAATTCTCTATTGTTCATTATCTGTCAAAAAAGGTAGAATTCCCAACCGCTCAAGACCTGACACGATCGAGCATATGAGACTCAATTACAATGATATACCTGATACTCGTGCTCACTAGAGACCTAGCCCAGTACATAGGATCGAGTAGTGGCCTATCTAGGATTTTTTTTGAGTGGGTGCGAACTTTTAGTAGAACTTAGTCACATGTTACACAAATTGCAAATCACATTATTATTATTATTATTGATTTTGTTTAATTAGACTTACTTTAACATTAATAGTACGGAGTATGAAATAAACACAGAATTAACAACATATGTTTGTGAGTTTTCGTGCGCTAAAAGTTTAAAGTTCATGGTTGTACTGTGCATAGTCATTTGAATATCGCGTAATTTACCAAAATCCGCTTAAAGTCAAGTTTACTTTCTAATCATGTTAGGTTTGATTGGTAATTTGGTATACGGAGTGAGTAAATACATAAAGTTCAATTTTTATAAAACAAATAGCTGATTAATTCATTAAATGATCAGATATAAAATGGAAATGATCTCACAAATCCTTTCAAATCACTAATTATGCAATAATGTAGTCTAGTCTAATAGTTTTCTTTTCTAGTTACTCCAAAGAAAAATAAAAGAAATTACAAATAAAAGATTCAGCTTCACCAGCCACCGAAAATGTAGAATTGATTTGACCAACAATCAACAAATAAAGGAAATTTGACCGACCGAATAGACATTGGTCGAATCATCGATTTGACCGGCCATTGAAAAGGAGTTCTAGTTGACCACTAAGTTACTCTCAGAGTGAGGCGGTGATTCAGGAGGAGAGTAATTAGTTGAAGCTTCAGAAGAACTAGGTTTAACTTGTCTTGCCAATCATGAATAATGAAGATTCGCCACTCGATCGGTTACACCTACGAGGAACACACACAACCTCTAGATGCTCACTAAAGTTTTGTACTTCACGTCGCGAGAGTAGTTAGAACTCAGTATTGACCAACGTTGCTCAATTAAATAATTTTCATGTGATTGAGCCTGATCAGCCTGAAATCTGATTACCCCGGAAACAATCCATGTTCCCTTCGTCATTAATTAGAAAGAAACCCCCAGTTTAATCGTTTTATTCGCGTTTTAATTTTCCAAACCAACCAGTCTCGCACAATTGCATTTTATTTTATTTTATTTCTTTTCATCGCTAAATTTAATTAATACGTAAATCCCTTTTTCTGTCCCTGTGGAGATGATACTCGTACTTTAACCCTATACTGCTAAATATTTTAAGTGTGAGAAAACTTACATTAGCTTTTGGCGCCGTTGCCGGGGACGATGTCGGTCTTAAGGGTTAATTAGACTCAGCGACTTGTTTTTAGTTTTTCGTAGAATTTTTGGTCAGCTAACCTTGCAGGTCAGATCTGTTTATGCATACACGCTCTAAGAGGGGAGAACCGCTAGTCCCTCTTAATCTTGAGATCGAGAAGCTCGCTAGGCATAACCGCAAGGCTCGAAAAGAGAAGAACTCAGCCATGGAACCACCATCATCTGAAACTGCAGGGACGTTTGATGTCCCTACCACATCTGCTAATGTTGATTTCTATATCAACACATCACCCAAGTCTTCACCGCCTATCAACACATCTCCCATGTGTCTACAAATGTCACACAAAATGTTACCACGAAGATTCAGGCAGTCGAGGATTATCTCACCTGGCAGACTCAATTTGAGCCATTCCTGATCTCTCAACGTCTTCTGGGTATGATTGATGGCTTCATTCAAGTACCTCCTATCGATCCATGTAACCACCAAATCCCTAATCCTGAATATTCTTTCTGGTTGCATGTTGATCAAACTATCCGTGCCTGGCTATTTCCTATTTTATCTAGAGATGTTTTAGTGGATGATCATGATGTCAAGCATTTTATTGGGATTTGGGATTTGCTAAAATCTCATTTTATATCTGCTAGCTTAACACGGTCTATAGAACTCAAAAACCTGTTGAATCATATAAAAAAGAAACCTAATAAGTCCATGGATCAATACTTGAGAGAAATTAAAACCTTGACCGAGTCTCTCGCGGCTATTAACTATCTAGTGTCTCATCATGATTTACTTCAATCCATTGTAATGGGGTTAGGGCTTAATTACGAATCACTTATTACTAGTCTTTCCATATTTCCCCAAAATTTTCCATTTGAGACACTTCAGACTCAACTCCTCCAGCAAGAACAACGTGTGTTATATGTCAAACAACAAGAATCTCTTAGCACTCATGTCTTTGGGGCTACTACTCAGCCCGCACATCATCCTCCAGCATATGGGCCTCGTGGGAGAGAGGGTTGTGCCTGGGGTGGCCGTGGTCGTGGCGGCCGTGTCAGGCAACAATACCAGCCGGCGTACGGGAAACAAGAGCAGGGCTATGGCCCACATCATTAGCAGGTTCTGACGGCTGCTCCTTCAGCCCAATATGGTATGCATGCAGGGGGTGGTTTTCCACCCAACCCGACCACTTCAGGTACTGCATTTAGTAATTCAACTGTCTCACATTTAAATACTATTGCTTCTCTTATTTGTGGTACTAACGTTGGAAATGCAGGCTTCTTATCTGATGGGAGGTATTCTTGAGTCTGTACCACCACCCATAGTTTGTCAAATTTGTTACTCTGTAGGCCATCCCGCTATTTCATGCCCATCTCGATTGGGACATTCATCTGCACCAACTCTGCTAACACCTCTAGGAGACGCTAGTCTGACTCTATGGTACCTAGATTCAGGAGCTACTGCTCACATGAACGGCTCTAAAGGTATTTTGTAAGTGTTGCTAATGGTTCCTAGCTTCCCATTTGTCATATTGGTGATGCCTCATTACCCTCTTCTGGCCGTTTCCTCATTTTAAAATTTGTTTATCATGTGGCTCAATTAAAATATAATTTAATTTCCATTCAAAAGTTGTGTGATGATAACAATTGTATTGTTGTTTTTGATAAAAATCATTTTTTGGTAAGGACAAAATCTCGGGAGCAGTACTTCTGCAAGATATAGATAATGGACCTCTTTTCCCTCTCAGTCCGCATCATCCTCTCACACTAACATCTGAGACGACTCCTGGTCCCGTGTGGCGTCGTATGCTAGGTCATTGTAGTGACACCGTTTTACATTTTCTTAGACATAAAAAAACTTTTGTGTACTAGTTCTAGTTCTTCGCATAATTGTGTTGCTTGTCATCTAGGAAAATCACTGTGTTTGCCCTTTTATGATGCTAGTCATAATTGTTGGCAGTGGCGGATCTGCAAGGGGGGCCAGGGGGCCGGTGCCCCTGCTTCGGCCGTCCGAGCCTAGGTATAGGATGGGGTTTGGGTGCCGCCAGTCATTCCATAATTCCTGTCAGGGAGGGGCGTGGGTTGCAGACTTGCTGGCAAGCCTTGAGGAAAGAGGACAGGGACGATCGATTAAGGGCTGTGGTTTTCTATTTTTAGTGAGGCGACGTCATTTTGATGGCCATCCAAAAAAAAATAATCCAGGGCCATCCGTGTCAACAACCAAGGCCCAACAGGCAACAGCCCAACAACACTAATGGCTACAAACTTCCACAAACTGGTAAACAAACGTCTCAAACAAATATAAAAATGTAAACTTATGCACTAACAATTAGTGCACATCAAACACCCCCGCACTTGAACTTTTACTCGTCTCGAGTAAAACAAATCATGTCCATGAAGTCCTCAATCTCAAAAGAGTAGTAAAAACAACCATCCACAAATATTTTGACAATCAACATTAAATGTTTTCATAATCAAAAATAAAATAAAAAGAAGGGTGGTCTTAAACTCCATTTCATCTCCTCTTTCCTCCTCAAGTCATCATTTAGAGCCCCACAAAAATAAAATATTTTCTCTCATTCTCTCATTTTGCCTAGGTACCCTTTCAGGTTTTCATCCCATTTTACCACTGTTTCTTTCTACCCTCACAAACTCACTTTTATTTTTGCTTTTGTTTTGCTTAAGTTGCCCTTTTTGGGGGTTTTCAACCTAACAAGCTTTATTCTTTTTTTTATATATACTATTTTTTGTTCTTTTTTTGTGATTTTAAAAGTAAAAACAAGCATGAAGAGTATGAATGTGAGCATATATACTATGATCATCT